TGAATGCTGCGGGGGGCGACCCAAGCAGTCAGCCCTAAACAGTCCCCAAGCCTGGGGGCTGTGCTAACACACAGAGATGCAGGAAGGGGTAATGGGCAGAGCCAGATCTTGGGGTCCAATCACCCCTGAGTGAGAGGGAGACGTGCGCCGAAATAAGGGCCCCATGTTTTCAGTTAACATAAAATGCAGTGTTAATGGGACTATGAAATAAAGAAGCAGAAAAGAAGAATGTGACCACAGAAATCCCTCCAGACCCCTCAGCAGATGTGAACCATCAGCCGCGCTGAGTCTCAAAACCCAGGGCAGAGCCGGCTGTTTTCAGCCTATTTTGACTTTCATTTTATGTAGTAAAATTTTCACAAGTGATGCTAGCTACTCTGCTGGATAAAAATTAGAAAATCAGGAGAAGGAAATAGAAGAAAATTGTCACCCACATTCTTACGTCCTGGTGACAAGCACCATTAACCTGAGGCCCTTTCATTGTGCTGGGGTTTTCCTGCCTGACAGCCAAGGACGTCCTACGTTCCCAGAGGGCTGGCAGCGGCTGAAAGGACACTCCATTTTCTTACATCCATATGAAGACAGTTAGATGTTGGGGACAGTCGGACGGATTGTCCAACTCATCACATTTTCCCTCTCAAGCCTGTAGGATATTGCTTCTGTTCTCCTCCAGTTTCCCCTACTGAGGTCAAGCTGCCTTCTGTCCCACACTCTCCCTACACCCCAACTCCATATTTGTATTCTATCCAGGAATTTTGTAACAGGGAGTAGGGGGAAATTATTTATACGGGAGAGAGAAGAGGCAGGATTAAAAGACAGGTCAGGCCAGTGTTTCCCCCACCCTTTTGCCCATTGTCCCTATGAAAATTATGCTATATGGGGGCACCTGGGTGGCTCAGTCATTAAGCGTCTGCCTTCAGCTCGGGTCATGATCTCCGGGGTCCTGGGATCGAGCCCCGCATCGGGCTCCCTGCTCCGCGGGAAGCCTGCTTCTCCCTCTCCCACTCCCCCTGCTTGTGTTCCCTCTCTCGCTGTGTCTCTCTCTGTCAAATAAATAAATGAAATCTTTAAAAAAAAAAAAAAGAATTCTGCTATATGTAAGTTGCCATAAAAAATTTTAAATATTTTATTGGTGACATAAGTATATAAATATTAACAAAATAGAAGTATATTAATAGAAATATTAATGTTTTAAAATAAAAATGTTATATCACTCTTGAATTTATCCAAAAGAATATAAATGTCACAGTGTTTTGATGACCCCTGTCAATTCCTTCAAAAATCAAAAACAAGCTCTCCCTGCACAGTTGGAAATTGGACACCATTCCCTTTTCTTCTTGAACTTCTTCATTCCACTCCTCCCTGCAAGAATTTTAAGTAACCTGTTTCTATGCTGAAAAGTCTTTCATTACTCACCGTATGAACAAACTGAATTTTTGATCGCGCTATTATCACAACTATCAATAGTGCCCAACTGATGAAAACATAAAGGTACTATAGGGTTTGGTAAATATTTATTCATCATAACAAGTAAAATAAATAAAAACACTTAGAAGTGTATTCTTCCACTAGAAAGGGCGAGCGGAAGAGGGAGGTCGCCATACAATCATTATCATGCTCACCTGTTCTATGTGAATCCAGATAATACCAATACAAATCCAAACTTTTATGTCAAGTCCCTGGAAAGTCCTGGTATACACCGCGGTAGACAGAGAGCTCAGGGCTCAGCAGTGAGAGTCGCAGAACAACACCTTGCAAGAAGGATGGGAGTCTCTTGGCACCAGTAAGGGGAGGAGGGGAGGACTTGCAGATGGTGGAGAAGGAACCGTAGGAACTTCTCCGTAAAAACAAGATCACATCGAGTTGGGGACAGATGAGATTACATTATTTCAAAATGCAGTGCCTGTCTTCCTAGAAAGTGGCTGTGTTTCCTGAGGGTCAGGTTTAAAGGAAGTGATTAAGAGAAAAATGGAAAGTGTCCACCATTTCGTGAAGCCTGTAAGGAGAGAGAGATGGGGTACGGTGAGCATGAGTGACAGGGAGGGTAAAGGACACAGAGCAGAGAAGATCCGGAAGCATTTGCAAACACGAGGCTGATGCAGCCTTGGCATGGGTGGGTTTCCTGGGAAGCCGGAGCAGCGTTGTGAGGACATCATCCTGCTGCCTCTGTGAGAAACACCACCTTGCCAAGGAAATCCGTATATCATACCGATTGATGTCATATATATATATATATGTTTAACGGAATGTCTCACAATTCTCTCATTATCTGCAAGTTCTTGTAGGCCTCCAAATTAAGTCCTTCCTAATTTTTAAAAATTATTTTCATAACACCCTTCACGTTGGACTCTGCGGAAACTTTATTCACGCCAGGTCTGCTCAGCTGTGTCAAAGAGCCCCTGTGTGTAACTGTGAAGTCACAGCTCTCCTCGGGCTTGGCAAGTCAGCTCTGGTCCCCAGGGCAGGAAAAATAGACACGGTTTGGGATCCCATAGCAGAGTAGTAATGTAGTGAAGGAACTGACACTAAATTAGGGGAAACAATGTCTTAGAAGGGTTATTTTAGTTCTAGTTGCTTAAAGAAGCACTGCTATATTATTCTACCCAGATAAAAATGAAAGCACCTAATCTCTATCAGTTATTATGTTAAACAAAGTGAATGAGAGTACACATGGTTCATCATGTTATCTTGAAAAAACTGTGTCATCGCCATCTGGTTTCACCCAAATGAGAATTACATTTATTTTGTTTGTACAGCTTCCCTCACACCCTCCTTTATATGTTTTCCTTCACTGATTTAGTGCTACTCAGTGCCAGGTACCTAGATCACCAACAAAGTCTTTGCCCTCGAGTGGGTCACGTTCTTGTGCAGATCAGACTCGGGAATGTCCACACCCTTGAAAAGTCTTCTGCTAGCATGGACCCTAAAATGTCAAGCAAGAACTACTTTTTACCATTTCAAAATGTTTCAAAGCTTTTCCAAAGCAGTCCTAGAGAAGCCACTTTGTTTTTTTTTATTCAGAAGAGATAGTGTTCAATAAAACATCTTGTCTCCCTTTTAAAGACAAATATATAAAATTATTCTAGTGAACTACATATAAATGGTAGCTATTTTAAGTAAAGTTGAAAAACTGATTCTCTTTTTTAAAAAAAAGGAGGGGAAGTAAATAAGCAAGGTGCATTTTCATGTTTAAAGACACTTATTGTTGACTATAAACATCCTTCTTTTGGGGGCAGAAGCAAGGTGGGTGGCCAGCTGGAGCCCAAGCCTGGCGACCATGAGTCCAGAAGCCCTTTCATTACCCGCTCAGGGGACCACACTCACTTAACGACACTTGCCATGTGCCTGCCCTTTGTGGCTGGGGACCGTGGAACCTGGGGGAGGGAACTGGTATCAACCAAATAATCACACAAATATGTAAGTTCAAAACGTGGCCAATGCTGTACAGGAAAAGTCTTGGGACCCTAAGTGTACAGAACAGCGGATAGGATCTGCCATGTCGACATGATCTTTAAAATGGAAAGTAATGGCTCGATCATTTTTTCAAACGAGTTAAAAAAGAATGTCAAAGGGCATTTCGTTGGGTTGACGGAGATTCTCTTAAAGCACTTGAATCTCAACCCACACACCCAAGACCACCATCTTTACGGTCACTGTTTCCTGCCTCCTTCCAGGCACGGAGTGAGTGCCATGGCTGGAGCCTGATAGAAGAAGGATTTTCTGCCTTTCTATCACCCAACCTAACAAACTGTGTGCCAGGCTGCAGAAATGAGCTTGGAAGCCCGGGACCCTCTTCCCCGGTGCACGAAGCCAGCGCAGAAGGAGCTGCAAATCTGTTGCTAGCAGAGACCTTTGCAGCCCATCCCTCCTCCTCCTCCTTCTCCCCGCTGCTACTCCTTCTCCCCGCTGCTACTCCTTCTCCCCGCTGCTA